TCTCATAGGAAAACAAATCAGCCTATTTGTGGAGTCCTGGGGGGAAGAAAGAACACGCTGTAGAAGGAAGTCGCCTATCCATGATCCAGCAGTTGCATGTTTGTTTGAACGTCTACATCGTTTGATCCATGGCTTGTGGCCAACCCTGAGAATACATTCTGAGGACAATGGCGATGGCCAGATCACTCTAAATGAGTTTATCGCATCTTGGTGAAACTGAAAAGTGGTCCTGTAGGGGCCTAGTTTCGGTTTGACATTCCACCTCAACTTACACCAGGTGACTGCGGTATTGCGCATCAATCCACCCGAGACACTATACTCAACCTGCAATAGGCTGTGCAAGCTGAGCTGGGTGGTCCTGTTGGTACCATATTGTTTATCCAGGACATTTCAGGTTTAGTTTCCTTGGTTGAGCTGTATGAATCTCTACACTTCTGTGAGCGGCCTATGCCAATGCCCATGCAAGCCTTGTAAGCCTTGCGCCGACTTTGGGAGCCACCGCGGCCAAAGACTCCCGATGTTGTATCGAATTTGTATGGTGGAGAACTCTTAGAGGGTTTATTGGTAAGTAGATTGCTGGTACTCCAATCAAAGTTGGCCCTTTGTGTATGCAGTGGTCCTGAAACTCACCTTCAGACCCCGATTGGTATATGAACATTGAATTGTTGCCGGCTCAATTGAAAGCAGGGGCATTTGACGATCTTGGACTACATGGAGGTGTTTTGGTTCAAAAGCCACCTGGGTTTCATTTGGCTTCACCCTGTTTTGCTGCTGTTCTTTGGCCTTAGGAGGGCGCGGCACGTCTCCGGGGCAGTGCGAAAGCACTCGACGTTTGGCGGATGGAGACCAAAGTAGAGGTACTCTTCGAAGAGGCGGGGCTCCAATGGCTCCAACGGACAGCCATGGGATTCATGGAATCATCATTGATGTGCGTGTTTTGAGTTACTTATTAATAGCAATGGCCTCCAACCTCATAGCGATGGCTTCCAGTCTAGTACCGTTCTTGGTGGTGTTTATTTGAATGAATGTAATCTCCAAGCAAGTATGCAAGGGAAACAACCAAGGTTTGTGCTCACCCCTAGTGTCTCCCACTGCCAGGAAAGCGACAATAGGAACACCTGGGACATGAAGGCCCTCAGCTACCAGGGTTAGTAATCCCTTCCACCTATTAAAAGAACACACCAGAAAAGACTCCTGGCGTCGTTTTTGTGGTCCCCCAAAGGACCGCGAGGGCCCCGCAAAGATGGAACCAGGGGCCCGTGCTTCAAAGCCGACTTCAGTCGCCTAGGAAAATGATGGAAAATGTATTGTTGTTTTGTCTTTTTAAAAATATTAATAGATAGTTCCAAAGATTTTTTGTTAAACTATATTAAACGCGTATCAGAAAACTTAAAAGAAACTCCAGATATAAGGGTATTCCTTTTCCAATTAAAAATCATATTTAACCATTGTGTTTATTTGATATTCTTCGCGTGTAAACTTTCCATCATACTAAAACCCATATATATCGAAAGGTGGAAAGCACGTTTGTGTGGCTCGGTGCCAATGGGGAAGGGTGCACATGCGTGCGTAAATGCGGCGTGTCGCTAGTGAGGGGCAAAGATTGGTTGTGATTCTAGTGAGTGGGTACCTAAAAAGAATAGTTCCCCAACAAATTGTAGTTAAGTGGCAGAATAACAAGACCGTCAGCAAAAACAAACAAAAGAATGTTAGAGTCTCCGACATGCGCATTGTTTGACAAATTAGGTAGTGTTTTTATTAGGTACTCGGGATTATCGTGTTCAAACAATTTCTTCCTGTCACGTGCTCAGCATGACTGTGTGGAATGTGCTTCTTCCCCTGTTTGGGATCATCGACCGTTTGACCCTGGTAATCAGGGCTTCAGAAAAGCATGACACTAGGCTATTTACACATATAGGAGGGTTATTTGTGTTTATTTGTTTTTGGTTGAGTTTGGTGATTTTTTGGAGTTGCTTCTGACTGCTTTTCTTGCTTTTCCTTGCTTCTCTATGACTTCTCCTGCTTTTCTTGCTTTTCCTCGCTTCTCATTGCTTTTCTGAAAGGGTTTTCCGCTTTTCTTGCTTAATTCTGCTTCTTTGCGCCAGTCTTGCTTGTCATTGCTTCTCATTGGTTTTCTGTGGTTGCTCTCGCTTTTCTGGTTTGTTGTTGCTTTTTCTGTGCTGGTCTTGCTTTTTCCTTGCTTTCCATTGCTTCTTTGTGAATGTGTTCTGTTCTCATTGTTCCTTCTTTGCGCTTGGTTTGTTCTTCTTGGCTTTTCTCCTTTACTTTCCTTATTATTGTATTTTTTGTGTGTGGCGTATTATATAATTCCTTATGAACATTTACCGTGATATATTGTAATGTGTTTTCTTTCTTTGGTCTTTGTCGCTGTCACTTTCGATAAGTGTGTTTTCAATCCTTGAGTTAGTGGTGCCTTATGCTTTCTTTTCTAGCTTTGTATGATTTTTCCACTCTTTTTTTGCTCCACTGGTGGTCGTATTTTAGTGCACCTCTATAGGCCTTAGATAGTATATATATATTGTCAGTTCCACTGAAGGAACTATAGAGAAACCAGGACCGCAAAAAAGATCCCAAAATACAACAATATATATCCTAAATAAAACCGCACCCCCATCGCACCCCATATATCCTTATCATATCTTATCATATATATAAAGCCCCACGGCTTTGAGATGCCAATGGTCAGGCCCTTTGCATACCGTATCATCCTCGAAGTATTTCATGGATTGTTTACAACTTGCTACCCGAAAATCGAAGAACTGGTGGTTCATCGGCACTCGTTCGAAAACGAAGGTCTTGAATCTTCTCAAGCGCTCCAGCAGCCCTGCAACGGCGCCCGACGAGGAGGTGCAGTGACTGAAGAACAACGGAAGAAGGGCTCCCAAAACGGTCCGAGTGGATGCAAGCCGGTAACATTTTTTGGAATCCGGATTCTTGGATGGGTGTGCATTGAAATAGGGAGACCTCCACAAAACCGCCTGGAAGAAGCAAAATAGAGCAAATCCATTGGTTGCGGGTCTCCCTACTAAAATGCACACCCAGATGTTTTGATGCCTGACGAAGGTGTCTTGTGTTTGATCCACTGCATGGTGACCACTAGAGCTGTTACTGGATTCATTGGGGTTGAGATTGCAACCAACCAAGGTCTTGCGGCGTAGCGGATGCGTGATTGACGTCCCAGTTGAAAATTACGTTCTAAAATGATGGCCTTTGAGGCCACTATAGAGCTACCAGTTTGTAGTAAAATCACTTTTTGAGCCTACCAAATGCACCCCTCTACTTTCCAGTCCTTTTTGTAGGAGATGTTTTTGGGGGCTCACGGGACACCATGCATATTGTAGGTTTAAAAGTGGGCTCAAGGCCCGCATTTAGTAGTATTTGTCCGAATTCGGACATGTCATTATCTACGACAGAAATTTGAAGATCTAATCTTGTAAGTATTTTAATTTTTTGGCTATATGGCTATATGACTTAAATGTGGAAGAGCATTTTGTAAAGAATGTATCTTAAAGCATTTTGTAAAGATATTTGGGCTACATGACGCAAGTGTGGAAAGCATTTTGTAAAGAATTTATCGTAAAAATCAACTTAAAGCCTGTTGTAAATAATTTTTGGGCTATATGGCAATATGGCGTAGACTATTTAGATGACAAGAATACAACAAGGGCTACTGTAGGCTCATTTTGTAGACCAAAGATCTAATTTCTTTTGTATCGTTTTGTGAGACTATTATTCAGATGCCAAGAATGCAAAAGGACCAGTCCCATTTTGTAGGCGAGGTCTTTTTTTGTAGACTTGGAAGATCACATCTACTACAAAATGAAGCATTGATTCCTATTTACCGTTGAGGCCCTCATTTAGTAGTATGTTTTTTTGCAGATTTTTGTTCGAGGCCTCATTGTGTAGAGCCAAGAATTGTGTTCTACTAAAAAATGCCTGTCTCAACCCCGCCCTAAATTTTAATGGGGATTGATTGACCCAATAGTGATCCTAGCAAGAGTGTCTGGGAAACAGAAAGATTGATTTAATTATTCGCAGCAACAACCATCAGAGGGAATCTACGCTGGGAAAGTGGTTCGTGGTGTGGAGTTGGTCAATTGACACGGCTACATTTTGTGTGTTCATATCAGGGTATAGACGATGTGGTGTCCAAGGACATTGAAGGCTTCAAGTTTTGCTAACCATCCAAGAACTGTAAGTAACTGCAAGCATCATCAGCACCATGTGAAAATATGGATTGTTTGTGATGATCTCAGGACATTGTGCAGGAGGTTTTTGACCAATCTCTCTTCAAGCACATCCAGACCACTGCACGCTCACGGCAAATCTCCTTTTCTGAATCACCATCGCCGCACGAAGGTGATTATCGGCAAAGCCGATAAGATGGACAGATGTATTCCGTCCAGTCACCATAGCATCTACCGTTTGAACATGATTCTTTGATTATTTTTGTACACTGGGCGACCGGGGAGGTGTGGTTGATTTCTTCTTATTGGTGGGTGTCCAAGTGTCGAGAATTGATCCCCGCAGAGCGCCATGAATTAGGGAATCCCAACCTGTGACCACTAGTTACACTAGTGGTTGCTTTTAAGATCAATTCCTTCCGACTTTCAGAGTCTTCAAGAGCTCTGAAAGCAGGGCATGGCATGACGTTTCACATTGTGGTCAAGGACTCCAATGATGAGCGCTGTTTTGATCCTGAAAGGCCTCAGGATGACTCATTCTGAGAGTGCAGCGCCAAAAATGGGCCCTGCTGGGTTGTTTAAAGAACTGTTGCCAAGTGCGACCAATCGATCGATCCTTTTTGCATCATGTTCAGGACCAAGGCCTCCTTGAGTCTGTTATAGGTTGTTGATCTGTCATGTTCTATGTTTGTTAAGGCTGTTAAGGTCCAAAGCATCATGAGTTTTCCTTTTTTTGGTGTTCTTTGGTGCCATATAGGCACGGTTCCCAAACGGTGCACCATGCCACGGCCAGAGGAGTTTTTGCGGCTGATGCGCCTACTCCGCGAAGAGGAGTTTAAACGTGTAACGTCGGTGAGACACAGCTGTTAAAGTTGATTACCCCGAATAAAGGCGATATACAATGTAATTATGCATATGGGGGTTCAATTCAGAAGCCGTTGCCGTTGAGTGTTTGTTGATGAAGAATTCTGTGTTTTGTCTCGATGTACTACCTCACAACTCGCTTTGAGAAAACCACAGAACCGTTGAAGCAAAAAGGGAGCACCCACCAGCCGCGCCAGCTCAGCTGTTCTGATTCAGGAGCTAGGACAGGCCAGGCAAGCCTTCATGCTGACCTTGAAGGTGCGAATCTGCCAGAAAACAAAAATGGAAACACGAACGAACAACCATCCTTATATATAAAACATGTGTTTCTTATGTGTTTTGTTTCTTGTTTTTTGTTGTGGTAGAGAGCTCCCAAACAAAGAAAGTTGCATCCGCCGTTGTGGTTTAGTTCATATGCTTGAAGAAACACATTGAAAACACTACAGCTATATGGCTACCGTATGATATCCAGCAGGCTTGCTGTATTTCATATTCATATGTCTATTCCTTGCTTCATGAGTGCCTCCTTTTTCCTCAGGACATTCTCCCAAAGGAGGACTTTGTGGCTTTGGATCCGGACGCCCGACAGCGTTTGGCCGGAATGCCATGATGTTTGTTGGGTCGGTGCTTCGGAAAGGCGAAGATGGAGAGCCCATTGGATACCTCCCGGAGTATTTGATTCTCACGCTGCCAAGTCGGGCGACAAGCTTGGTTGGATCATGGCTGTGATTACAGCGGCCATGATTCACTGAAGATACCTCCCGGAGTGTTTACTCCAGCTGAAATCCGATGAAATCCATTTTGCTTTCGGCCGGTGGTTTACGACCAATGCGCAGTGCAAGGATGATGAGAACGTTGCCATCCCAAGAGCTCCTTGGCAAATCGGAATCTCAACAGGTGTGAAAATCCTTTTTGGGGTGCCCAGGTTCGGGGCCCAGGTTCTATTCGTTTCGCTTGGCCGTCGCTATAATTTAACTCAAGTTTGGGGTCTCCAGTTGAAGGTGGATTTCATGTGGCACCCCCGTGCAAATCAAGAAACTTGTGAGGAGCCCATAGCATTTCCACATTTGCGGCAATACCAACGACACATTTCAGGGGCTCCCTGGCTAGCAGCTAGCACAGCTGGTTAGAAGAAAATTGAAGCTGGGCAAACCTCCAATGTTTGCTACGTAAACGGGGTGGGGGTCAAAAAGCATCTATCCTGCTGAGATCTGCTGAGTTGAACCTCAGATCAGGCTGTTCGCCCACCATGAGTGCAGTTTTGAAGGGTCTCTCCAACCCCCCGTTTGGCAGTTTCCTAGCAGGAAGGGTTCGATGGGGAGTTTGTGAGGCCTGGTCAAACCAAACATGCAATTCATGTTCTAGAATCTACTAGGTGGAGGCCATCGCTATTAGGTTGGAGGCCATCGCTACTAGTAACAAGAAAGCATTTTAGGTCTTTGCCGTTTCTTAGTAATAAACATGCACTTCATGTTCTTCAACGCCCGTTTTCCTCAGTCATCTCTTGGAGGAACGTCTTCAGCTTCCAGTACGCCTGTTGGAGCTGCAGACGGACATGGTGGAGCTCCAAGGCTTGGCAGACAGGCCAAGCGATGGGACCTCGAAGTCGGGAAGAGATGGGCCTAAGAACTCAATGACAAAGTTTAACAGGTTCATTGAGAAATGCACTGGTTTGCTGGGGTTTGGGCTGGTAAACAGTTCATCGTGATATATTTGTTGCCAGCTTTTGAATTTACCGGTCTGCTGACCATGATGTGTAGGTTCTTTTTTCTAGGCGACACGAAGGTGCAAATTTACAGATTTGGTTGTTTGCTTCAGAAGATCACGCCCCTGGTCACCAGCGCCTGATTCCCGGCCTACACCACCAGAGCTTTACTGTGTGCATCCCGGGTCGGCTGGAGCGCTGAAGACACAGCCGGCCCTTGTGTGACAGTGAGGCCGCAAGTGATTGCATTGAGTCAACAAGTACAGACAGTGAGTCCGCACGTGAGGTGAAGATCCAGATGTGGCAGGTGAGGAACCTTTCACTCCAATGACAAACACGTGCCCACTGTGAGCTGGCCAAATGTTCAATGAGCAGAGCCGGCGTCTGTTCCCGGCAACACGACCGTGCATCGGAGAATTCAGCTGTGGAGATTGGCACTTGCTGTGGAGATTCGGAGCTCAAGCAGCGTTGGCCGAATCAATTTCTGTTTGGTCAAGATGGGGCACTTCAGCACGGAAGGATGGCCTTCGCGTTGTCACAGGCTTGTACACCACGACTTGCAGCTGTTCAAGAGCGTTCAAGAGCAAGTTGACATGCTTGGCTTTGTTGTCTCCATCACTTTAAAGCTATATAATACAAGCTTTCCAGTCCCAATTGAACAAAAAGACTCATTTCGGAACCCTTAAATGCAGCTGTCAGTCTTCCTTTGTATAGTGTATTTTTGCTGGTCAGCTAATTGAGCACCCCTCAGTTTTTGAGAGAAACCATCGCGATCTTATGTCGGGCGTGCAACACCGAAGAAACCGGTGTGCCCACTGGCCCACAGGTATGCCATCGATGCCGCGTTGGATTTCGACAGCTTCGTGAACTTGGTGGACCCGGGTGGACGAGGGCGCACGAGAACTTCAAAATTCGACAGTGACATTTGAGTTTCTCAATGACCGTTTTGGTCCATTTCAAACGCTTTGGCCACAAACAGCTCCCTGATGTCGAGAACTGGCTTTGGGTGGGTACATCCTGGCCCTGAGGACCACTTGCGGCGAAACCGGCAAGCCAGGAAGAAGAAGCAGGCTTGCCGGGGCCCGGAGGGGGGCTGGAATGGAAAGATGCTGAGAACAGCTGAGCATATTCATATGCAAAAGAGGAAGGCACAAAAAGAAGTAAGACACATTAAGAGGAAGACAACTCGCTCCAAACACCGGACATGTCCATGATGGTTCACTTGGGGGGTGCCAGAGTGGAGACGGAAAACCTGAACACGGAGTGGATATGCCAAGACCGATGGCCTCCAACCTAGTAGCGATGGCGGGGCGGATAAGTCCCACTAGATGTACAAGGTGTTAATGATTGAGTTGACGCAGTTAGGTAAATGAAACAGCGGGGCACGTTTGCTGGAAATGCAAGATCACATGGTTGCATTTGATTCGAGGATCTATTTTGGAGAAGGCCAGATCTGCTAGACTTAAGATGTGCTGGGAAGCCACAGTCAGCACATGCCAGAATATGACTTGTTTAATGACATACTATGAGTCTCTACTTGGTTTCTTTATGACCTGAAATTGTGTTGCGTTCGTTAATGTTTCTTTATGATTCCTCCTTCCGTCACCTTCGGATCTCTCTCAGGAGTCCCAGAATGGACTCGAATGGCTGCCCAAATCCTTCCAACCATAAAACTTCTACTACTATTTGAGAAGAACGTTTTGGGCCAACCTTGGAGCATTAAGTAAAACATAGATCCAAGTCATTAACACACACACACAATTATTGCAGTACCATGACAATATCTTAATAGTGTTCCTGAAATCAGCCCTTTCGCTCGTATAGTTCGTCATAATGCTGCTAGAGGATCTCGGTTCCTCTTGAGCGTGGAGCAGTGCTGGTGAAACGGCAGATGGGAAATAGAATAAGTAATATACTGTGTCACACTGTGATGGTCTTCATTGTTTGTGAAACACAGGGTGTCACCGGACATCGCACAAGACCAAACTTATGAGTTGGGCCACAAGCTAGTGACAAAAGTGAAGAGCATCCTGTTTTACTGTATTAGGGACACGGTTAGTTAAAGCCGCAGCCTCAATATGCTTGGCCACAATTCTGAATACTTCACTTTGTGAGCAGTGTTTTGGAGGCAGAACTTGGGATTTCCGGGGAATCATGAGCATATCATATGCCTTTGTGATTCATCTTCCCGGCAAATGGACGGATATGATATGTTCATGACAGAACATAACTGGAAATGGCGAGCTCACCCCGTAAGATGCCCGGGTTTGAGCCATTTGATCAAAAGAGTCATGTGTTGAAAAGGACTTGATTATATGTTGCGTAAAGGCTCGGATAGAGAACTGGCCGAGACAGACTCCTTGGAAAGGAAGATCGCACTAAAACTTATCGGTTTGAATTGTATAACGCATATTCGTGACTTGAATTTACATAAATCGCATCAAAGAACCTGGAATCTCGCTTCGGCTGACAAAACACTCGCAGGAAGAAGTGAATTGTATGTCTCAGAAGATCTAAGAGAGCGGTCAACAGGCTTCCAGCTTTCAGGGCCTACCCCTTTTGCCCCAAGCTGTGCACTGTACCCCCTGGTTGTGGGACCACTCACCCTATCAGGTGCAGAATTTAGAATTGGAGGCTCTCTCCGTTTTGTCCCAAACCGGCTCCTGTTTTTGTGGCTGCTCCTGGGACGACTTCGCGACAAAACGCCTCGGTTGGGCCAGGCGTCCTTTGAAGACTCGGAGGTCACTTCTTTACAGTCCAAATTCTCCTTTGTGGATCGCGATGGCAGCGGGGAGCCGCACGGCCCAAGACCAAACACTGATGTTTTTGATTGGGTGTATGTGGTGCTTTTCTAGTGTTTGGTGGATTGTTTTTGTTTGTTTGAGTTTCTGATCTTCTGTTTTGTTTTTGGGTTACGTACTTTATGTTACTTCGCTGCAGGAGGCTGCCCTTCCCGGTCCAGGTGAAGATTTGCCATGTGTGCATATAGTACGTACTCGGGAACAGCATTGCCTTTGATGAGCCAATTTTAGCCACTGTTGAGGAATAGCCGGTGCTGCTCAAGAGGCCTGTTTTCCAACCAGGAATTGCTTTATGTAACCCGACCTATGTAGTCAAAGGAACAGTTCCTGGGCATTGTGCCGTGATTACGTTGACCCCCAAAATTAACAGATGTAACCCTCCCAATTCATATATATATATATTCTGCTCTCAGTTCTGCTCTCACATGCGGATGTAACTGCATCCACCATAGTTGGATATTCTGCTCAGACTTTGGATGAGAGACATGTGGGATGAACCATGTTTCTGCCTCATTTTCAGATGCCCCAGTCACATGGTGTTTCTTTGATCGATCTGAGCACTCTTGAACCCAGGATCGACCGAGACGAGATCCCGCGCTTGCTGAAGCCCATGGGAATGGAGCTGAAGAGCAAAGATGATCAGAGGTCCCGCAGACCGGGGCGTTTTCTTCGAGCGGCGGGTAAGGAGTGGTCGGAGTGCTCGGCTGGAGCTCAGCTCGTTCGGCAGATGGCTGGTTTTCATGAAATTTGGTCGTGAGGTCCAATGTCCGGTGTAAACATCCCATTCCTTGTCCACATTACATGTGGGACTTATCAAAGTACTTTAGGAAATCCATTAGGATCATTAGGAGCCAATGCTTGCAGCCAAGCACCCCAACACCCAAACAAATCAATGTGTATATGGAACTTTTGATTCGATCGACGGACGCTTGAAACCAAAAAGCATACCATGCATGGTATCAAACAACCTACCGCGCATGGAATCACATAGATTGTTTGGAATAGACTGCGAGGAGTTGCTGCGCCTTTGACACCCCTGCTGGGATACTGTAGGTGTGTTTCTTTTATTGCCAAGAAGAACACTGTCGGGGTTTGTAAGTTTGTCAGTGTTTCCTTAATTTCGTGGATGTTTGTGGCAGAACCAACGAGTTCTAATGTTGGATCGGATCTTAAAAATAGCATAACCCCCTAGCAAAGGAGTCTCAATATTAGCACCGCCACAACAACAAATTTGTAGCGGTAACAGTAGTAGTAGGAGTAGGAGTAGGAGTAGGAGTTGAATGAGTAGTAGTAGTAGTAGTAGTAGTAGTAGCAGTAGCAGTCGTAGTGGTAGCAGTAGGAGTAGGAGGAGTAGTAGTAGGAGCAGTAGCAGTAGTAGTAGTAGAAGTAGTAGTAGTAGTAAATGTAGTACTTGCACTAGTCCTGTATAAGTATAATACTAGGGTAGCACTAGTACTAGTAGTACTAGTAGTAGTACTAGGATTGTAGTAGAGTAGTAGTAGTAGTAGTAGTAGTAGTAGTAGGAGTGGTGGTAGTAGTAGTAGTGGTGGTGGTAGTAGTAGTAGTAGGAGCAGCAGCAGCAGAAGCAGTAGCAGTAGCAGTAGCAGTCGTAGTGGTAGTGGTAGTAGTAGTAGTGGTGGTAGTGGTAGTAGTAGTAGTAGTAGTAGTAGTGATAGTCGTCGTCGTAGTAGTAGTCGTCTTCGTCGCTTTTTGAGAGCAGGGCATTACAAAAGTAGTTGTACATAGTTTTCCTAGGGCTCCAAGCTTACTTAATAATCCCGCCTTCTAAACAATGTGTATTATTTATTCACTTACTCGGGGCTTGCGCACTACCCCGGCTTCCTCCTTGAAAACAATTGTTTGGTGCAAGCAATGCAATCGATGAGTTTAGATAAGGGGCCAGGGATTTAAAAAAAGCTTTTCAGGTCAGAGTTCCATGAATCAAGCACAACTCAGTAGTAGTAGTAGTAGGAGCAGCAGTAGCAGGCGCAGCAGTGGTATGTAGTCGTTCTAGTTAAGCAAGGAATCTAAAGGGCAACAATAGCAAAGTAATAGACAAATCAACATTTATTTAACAAACACCCTGGGTGAAAGACCTTTTTACTATTCCCTCCCATTATACTCATTGGGATCTCATATTGCTATGACAGAATGTGAATGTTCGGGATGTCCAGAATGGACGTCCGCCACAGGCGGCTGATGGCTTTGATCGCTGATGCCCGGCGCTGGGCAGCTGAGTGCGGAGTGCCGCAAGAGGAGTGCGACCCGGCCGAAGCATCCACTGCATCAGACAGATCCCGTTCATACACATGAAAAGTCATTTTAGACAGGAACATTGCAAATGATGAATCGATTGCAACTCTGGAGGTGCTTGCAAGCTGCAAAACGAAAATAGGATAGAGTATGCAATGCGGACAGGTCATGGTGTTTTGGAAACATAGCATTGATTTGTTTATGCAATATGTTTCCAGTTTACTGTATATATATATAGAGCTTCTTGCGACGCTAACAACGAGAGTATCACCCCAAAGTCGCCTCGCCTTGCCACCCAGACCAGCTCCCATGCCCATGTCATTTGGCAACGTATGGGCGACTAGGTTTCCACACGCCAGGACAGTCCGAAGAAATGAATAGTTATTGTGTGAAACAAGTTTGAGCTGAACATGTTGAACGCATTTTGTTATGAAGATTGCTTCGCAACCTACGGGGAAGAACATATTGTGTTCTAATTGGGAGTGGTTGAATCCATGAGAACCGGACCCCTTGCAGGCAACGCCCTTGTAGTACCCTCCCAGAGAACAGTTTCACACCAACCTTGTGCCGAAGGACACCTGGTACCTGATAAAATAACAGCGGTTCGTTGTTATTTATCGTTGTGTGTTTGAACAGGCTAGGTGACAATCAATATATACTGTATATATATGTACAGTGGTTTCAGAGTAGATGGCACAAACCGCTACATGTTTAGTTTTTAAAATGGGGGTCCATACAAAAAAAGAACTTGGGGATCGTGCCATCTACTCTGAAACCACCGCTGTATGTATAATATTAATATAGGACATGGTTGTGGTGGCCGCCTCAGGCGGGAAGCATGGAACGGCCATTGTGCGTTTCCCAGTGCTGCTTGGCAGACTTGACAGCATGGTGGCTCCGCCAAGTTCAGCTAGTTAACTGATTAAAACATTTTGCAGCATGCAGAGCAGCAAATGAGAAAAACCACCGGGTTCTGTGAGGGAAAGGCCAAATTGGTCAGGACCTCCCGCACAGTGTAACCTGAAGCCGCCAGTATTTGGAAGACCCTTCTGGGCCATTGTCACACTCTCCATGCCCTGCTTAGGTTTCTCTTCATGTGCCGCTTGCTGCAGAGAGAAAAGGAAGCAAAGGCATTGGCCGAAGAAGAAGAGGAGGCCCGAATCGGACATGAAGGACTGAATCGACTTTGCTTCGGCGAGGCCGGATTGAACTCAAGGGACTGTCACATGCCCACCTGAGCTATGGAAGGGGTTGCAGCTATAGAAGGTGCTCCTCACAGCTCCATATGCCGAAGTGTGCCATGGATAAACACGTGCCCTGGGCCAGGCACGCATTCTTGGCTTTGCAGAGGTGCAAGTAAAGCACCTTGCCTCAGCTGTTGCGGATCGGTTCACTTGGTTTCAACTTCGTACCTTAGAAGTCACTGGAAGAGGAGCTAGTGATTCTCAGCAGGCTCTAAGAGGCTTGATTTGCCAACATTCAACCCCACCCACTTACTCAAGACAACCAGGAAGTTGATTGATTGTGATGAGTTGGGCGCTGAGGAAGTTGCATTCGAAGTTTTGCTTCTGGGTCGCCAGGACTGAGCCAACTTGCTGAGCCATGGTTTGAACTTGTGCTGTCAACAGGCACTTTTGAGAGTTTGCATGTGCACACGGGTTAGACGTCCCCAGTGTCAAAGCTTGTTCAGCTGAGGGTGATGTCCCAAGTGGTTTCATCCCGAACATCATTGAACCATATTGAACGCACGATTGGATGACAATGTGGGACCGCCCATGGACTTCCGTGCGGTTTGACACTAGCAGTGACGTTGCAGGATGCAGGAAGAGACTGAAGCCTCAGAGTCGCAGGATGGGCAGGACGGGCAAAAAGATGGGTGGGCTGGAGATGGCAGGCACCCAGGTGCTGGTGCTTGGGGTGAATGGTTTAAGAGGATTTGAGGCTGTTTGTTGGAGATGGACATTGGAACCAAAGCAATTTTACTTCCTCACGCTTGGAAGCCAAAGCATTCCATGCCACAGGCTGTTGGGGCCATGTAGTGCAACAAAGTGGGTGGAGAGCTCCGCGGCCCAACAGTTTTGAAGATGCAGATTCTTGAAGGTTTTCGGAAGGACACCATCCAACGAAACATCAGAACTTGGTTGGACTTCCCAGACTCTCAATGGCGACGCACGAATGCAGCCTAAAATCACCAGGAGAATTGAAGTGCAACATGAGCTCTCAGCTCTACAAGCGAGCCCCCAGAAGCCGGCTCTATGTTCACCTTGTCCTCGGATCAGTCCAGGGCCACAAAAACGAATCCCAGGATTTCAACTTGACCTTAAGCGTCGACGGCTTCGGCAAACTCTGCGAGCACATCAATCCCAGGCATGTGGAGCTGGGGAAGATTCTTGCGGCACGCCGCCATGCAACAAACCAGGTGTTTCCATGCAATTGTGGCCAGCGGCCAGACAATGTCTTCTTGAGGTGTTTGTTTGGTGTGCCGCCATCAAGCCACCCATTGAGCTCCGAAGCCACCAAACCTCGTTACTGACATCAAGATCACGATTGGTTGGTTTGTCCGTTTGTCATGAACATGTTTTAAGACAACTCTGAGAAACAGGCTGAGCAGCGAAGAGATCCAAGACATCACGGCAGCGTTGCCGAAGCTCCATGATTTTCCTACAATCCGTGCCTCAAATTTAACTGTGTGGGGCACTTGCCAGGTGTACATGAGACATGATATAGCATCACCAGATAGGCGGAAAAGCGCATTGCCTTCAATTGGATGTGTTTTTTCCCCAAATTGGTTCAGTTCGATCTAGATCTTGGAACTTTAAGTCAACAGAAGGACGCCCCCAATCGGGCATACGATCCAAAAAGGCCAAAGGGTCGGAAAGGAGCTTCAAGTTTGCGCGCAGAGGACGCTTAGAACATCTTAGAACTGTTTGATGTGTTTTGGATTGCGTTTCCATTTCAGTTCCCAAGTTCTAGCGGTTAGGACTAAAGAGACCCTTGTCACCCTTGTCAAAGAAGATACTGTAACTATCTGTAACTCCACAGTCTACCTGGAAGTTGTTTCCTTCAGAAATCCTCGACCATGAAAACAATCATGAAGGCAAACTAAAACCCCGCACCTGTTCGAACGGATCACGTTCGCTTGTTCCATCCTGGCGCTGTTCGCATCCATCGGGCGGCATCCGAGGAACGGAGGCCCATGTGGAGGAGCTGATGAAAGTGGCAGAGGAGGAGGAAGAGACCGAGGCGGTCGAGGAGGAACTGCTCCCAGAGGTGCAGCAGGCCTTGGGAGGGATTTCAGCAGGGTGACCCGTGGGACCCGTGTGGGACCTGCACCTGATCCCGCAAGCCTGTGGTCAAAGCAGCCATGCAGGTGAGCTTCCCGCTCTTCGTGCGGAGCATGAAATGGATGCTGGAGAGGAATTTGGGGCAAATGCAGGAGTGGCAGTTTGTGGGATGACCGGAGAGATGGGAAGAAGCCTTAAAGCGTCGGTCAAGCCAAGTTTGCCAAATGCCCCCCAAAATGCCTATCAATTGCAAGCTCCCCAAAGGAGGCTACATGGAAGAGGTAAGGCTAATCTACCAAAATCCAAGCGAAGGCTACAATGATTGTTTACGAGATGGTGCCCATTGAGACGCTTAAGATTGTACCACCTTTGGAATCTGCACCAGGATGCCTTCAAGCTCTAAGCGTGGCTTGCTGGGTTGTTGCCGCAGCTTTGCAGGTAGCGGTTTTGCATGGATACGTCATTTGTTTATGCTGTAGGACCCTGAAGGGAGAACCAATGGGCGTGAATGGGCCAAACGCGGGAACATGCTGTCACCATTGCTTGGGTGTTGGTCTTTTGGAGGCGTGCCCTTTCAAGGCCTCTATGAGGTGAAACCACCCGCAAGCGCGATAGTTGTGCCTCACCCATGATCATGCCATGAGCCCATTGGGTTGCGAGAATCGCTGATGTCCCAGAGGGACGACATGACCGAGAATCGCTGGGGTTCAACGTTGCAGACGTGAGGTGTTTGGTGAACCCCTGAGCATGAACAACATTGAATGCATTTGTCGATGATGTGCATTTCCTGGGCGTTTTCTCCCAGATGCTGGCTCCGATTGACCACTTGAAGAGATGCACATGAAATCAATGGATGTTTTTAAAGCTGAACAAGCGCAAGCTTTGCATATACGATAGTTCATGATAGTTCTATGAACTCGTCGGGTCCGCGTTCATCCATTTCCAGCAAGGGTGTCATGATCGATTCTTGTGGCGCACGACGAGACTAGCTGTCACCAAACTGTGTGCATTCGCAGGTCTGGATTATTGATGCAGGGTGAATTGGTGAAGAAGTCTTCCATGCAGCCTAGTTTGCAAGTATGCCTGAGGCACTTGCTGAAAGAATCTGAAACCTGAAGCATGGCTTCGGACCACTTTATTGAGGCTGCAAGGGACTTCAGAACCCCACTGAGCCTGGATGGCACTTTGTAGCAACTCCTTGAGATTTAGAGTCGTTGATAGAGGCTTTCAGTCGGTTCAAGGCTTTTCGCCGAAGCAATCACATTTTATGGCCCAGCATGGCCCAGCTTACCTGGAAATCCAGGGAAGGGTGGCCTATTGGACGTTCATATCGACCAATTGGGGTCACCCAAGGAATCTGATGAGGGCAGGCTTCAACACATGATATCCTTCCAGAAACTATGTGTAGAATCTGAACACTGAATGTAACAACAGTCCTTGTAAGGCTGGCTTCTACTAGACAGGGACCTGCTTGGGTTTAGAGCTGATGGTTTTTTGCACTCAGCAAGTTCAGTGAGTTGAGTGGCTCCAACGGTCTAGAGTAGATGGTGCAAACCCGATGGCTTTTGGATGGTGCAGAGTCATGTCTAGAGTCTAAAGACTTCAAGTAGGCATAGGGATTCCTTCAGCATGGCAAACGGCTCGCCTGGCCGGTCGCGGTGTGGCTTCAGCCTTGGCGAGACAGCCTGTCTGGCACATGTTGCAAAGAGGGCAATCCAAGGTCTCAAACCCCAGACCTCAGATGTTTGACCAATTGTCAATTTGTCAGACACCAGTCAGATTTTCAGAACTCAGATTTCGGATCCTACATCACATTTTCCAATTTCAGGAGGGTGCTCATTTCCACCCTGGAGTTATGGGTGAGCTTGGCGCAGCCGAACCCGTTCTTTGACACCGGCCCCGGCCGAGTGACCATGTGGTGCCGTGTGGATGGGCCAGCGAGCAGGCGAGGCAGGTTCTTGAGGTTTGTCGCACGGTTGCTGTGAGCAGGTTGAAAGCAGACGAAGTTGTCGCAATCAGCGGGCCCCCCACATGAGCTGCTTCGCCAGGTGAGAAGCACTGGTGTTAGAGAGATTTAGAGAGAACTTAACCCTGGGAGCGTTTGAATGACTACAGGAGCGTCCTGACCACAGAGTCGGTGCGCATAATTGGTAGTTCTGACTCCTAATTACATTCCCAATGCATCGGATCATGGACCGTGGGTTGTTCACGAGTCATAATATGTTGTGCCCTCCAAGATGCCACTATGTTGGGTTATGTTGGGTTGACATGTCTCGGAACCTGTGCTTCAGGGGCCATGCAGGTTGGGTCGACCTGCATGCTGCCCGGATGCCCAGCGATGGTTGTGAGGTTTTCATAGGCTTTCCATATCCCGGTAAGAATTTCCCATTATCATAAAAAGGCAGACCACAAGGTCTCTTAAAATTGATACAAAAAGCATGTTGGATATAAATACTGTAGCATGTTATTATATATATATTAACGTTTTGCGCTTTCAGTCGCGTGGGGGTAGACACCGGCGAGCAGTGTTGCTCCGAACTGCTCGGACTAGTAGTGTTGGAGAAAGTGAAGCAAGAACCGATGAGGATACCAGTCTCTCGCAGCTTTCGTGTCGCTTGCGTGCTGCAGGATGGTCAACCATGGTCAACCTAAATAATCGATGGTGACAGTTCATAGATGCTACGCCGCATAAGACATGGGAGGTTGCTGTTTAGTTATTTTGTTTCTCAATTCCCGCTGAGATGATCGCTTGCACTCTCGGACATGCCTAGGCGGCAGAACGCCAGCAAGTCGGCGGTAGATGAGCGTCAATATATTCTTGGACTCTAGGTATTGCATGAGGACGCTTTGTTTCTTGATGTTTGCTTTGGTTTGGGAAACTGCATGGCCATGCTGATATCCAGGCCAACTCAAGCTGTGCTCTGGCCCCCTGCAACTGAACTCAGCGTTTGGACCCACAATATGCGTCCGAAAAAATGTTGTTGGACACTCACCCGTTTCACAGATCACTCACTGTGAGGACAAACATGAGACATGCCGGATTGCAAAGATGCATGGTGCCCACCAGGAATTAGCGACTGCGCTCGAGCAAGACAATGGCAAGCTGGGCTTGGCTTGTTCTTTTCCATGAGGAGCTTCTTGGAGCTGTTTGGGTGTATGTAAGCTATGAGAGGAAAGTCAAGTGCGGCTGCATAGATGTGTATATAAAGTTAAGTAGGAGATAGTAGGAGGTTGAGTTTGTGGATTTTTTGGGGGTTTTAGCGGATTCCTTGTGACTCTTTCGGGGTGACAATCCCAAAGCATGATGTATTTCGTCTTCGATCAGACAGGGTCAGTTGCATTTCCTATGTGTGTGTGAATCCTACCGTCAGCCAACGAGCAGTGGGACCAACTGCCTCACCCCCGCCCCAGCGACTAAGGAATGGAGGCAGGTGCGGCGTTGTTTCCGATCATTCTGCGATTTGTCAGACACATTGGCCAAGCATGGCCAAGCCCAAAAAAGGTATGTATAGAAGATTGTAGAGGTACTTTGAATTACTTATACAGCAGCTGGAGCTCCAGTATTGGAGCACTAGCCACCTAAATTACGTAGCAGGATTAGCCATCATGCTGGCCAATAACAAGATCCTCACTTCCAACAGTAGTTACCACTAAATGAAGAAGACACTGGAGATTCGAGACACTGTGAAGGGCTCAAGTAGAATGCTGCATTGGCAAGGTTCTTACTTAAAGGCTTCGACGGCTTCGGCTTTTTTGTTGCAAGGTGTTCAGGCAACGATTTTCCCATAGTTTCCCCGTGTCTCCAAACCACTTGTACTTGTAAGGTGGTATTTCGAAGGTGTGTAACTGGGCATTAGGCGACCACTTCTTGCTTTGAACCTCCGATCCACCAACTCAGCTTGCTTGGAGATCCTTCGACCATCTTTGCCAGGTCAATCCCAAGGTGAACAGCTTCACGGCAAGGAATTCGGCTTTTCTGTGTGCTGACTTCATAGGGATGAAACCTTGTGAATGGATGTGAGCTCACGGGCAGGTTTTCTAGGAGTTTGGTTGAATATACGAGCCCTGGTTGGTGCCAGAGTGGCTATGAGTTAAAAGCATATCACCGGAGATAGTCAGTGAAAACATGTGAAGACCAAAACTTTGGCAACTTAAAGACCAAACAATTGATGCATCCAGTTGAATTGACTTGAAACACGGCAACTTAAAGAAAACACCTTCTACAGCTGGGGTCCGCGAGAGTGTTTGGGTTTTCGATACACAACGGCTTGGTCCAGCACCAAAACTCCTTGAGGCTACAATGCAGCCCTTAGCTGTTGCCATCGGGGGTCCCAGTGGCAACTCGCTTGGGAATTCTTCGAGACTTGGTGCAATGCACCTATGGTACCTATGGTGTAATGTCCTGACAGGCTGACAGTATGTGTTGTCGTGAGTTTGTGGGGATGTGCGTAACTTATGCAATATATACATATATATATATATATAGCTATATGCAAATATAATACATATATATATATATAAATAACAAAACCAGTTGTTGTTTGCAAGGCATCAAGTCGGCACCATCTCAGCAGCCCAACTGACCCAGAAATTCTGCTACCTGTGCCCAGTGGTTGAGGAGTCAATGCCTTCAAGAATGATCACACCAACAGTGGTGAGCTACAACTCCACAATCAGCTCCTTAGGCTTTGGAACATATTGGGCGTGGGCCCTGCAGATATTTCGAGATATGCCAAGCCTTGGCAGGGTCATGCCCAATGTGATCAGCTACAGCGCCCTGATCAGTTCATGCGAGAAGGGCGCCCAATGGCAAACCGCCCTGGAATTGTGGCAGGAGATGCCCAAAAAGCAGATCGCTCCAAACCTTTACACCCACAATTCCACCATCAGTTCCTGTGAGAAGGCGTCTGAGTGGCAGCTAGCTTTGAGGATCTTTGGCAACTTACCAACTGCAACCATCAAGCCCGATGTGATCAGCTGCAGTGCTATGATGAGTGCATGCGAGAAGGGTGGTCAGTGGCAGCAGTCACTTAAATTGCTGCAAATGATGCAACTCCTCAATATCTCACCAAATGCTTACAGCTACAGCGCAGGCATTAGTTCCTGCGAGAAGGGCTCGCAATGGCAGCGGGCTTGTGTCCTCTTAGAGGTTCCTCAGCTGATTTGAGCTTGGTTCTCTACTGCGGACGAAAGGTCTTAGCTGCCTTAGCCCCAAGATGTCATATTGACATTGGCTATAGAGGGACGGGAACTGTGCCGCAGAAGGCACCATGTCCTGAAGAAGCTCCATTTGTGTTTATCCCACTGAAGAAGTCGTTAAAAGGAGTTCGCACGGATTAGACATGCTTACGAGAGATGCCAGCCAGTTCTCTTGAGAACTTCTGGTGGTTTCAGCCATTTATAAACTTTCAACTATAACTGTACTAAGAGCTGCTATTAACACGGACTGTCGGCATATGTCAGAGCTTCACCGCAAACTCACAAGGAGTTTGTAAACACAGGGCCTGGGTTTTTTCGCGGGATTGGTCCCTAAGCATGTGTTTTTTCCCTAAGGGTTTGCTGCATGCGTTTCTGCAGCGTCGCCTTCTGTTTGAGAAAATGGCCTTGTCTCACTTGGATCAAGGGAGGGAATGAGAAGTTGGAGGCACAAACGCCTATTTGGCTGCATTTGTTGGCAAAAATGCACGGGACATGATGAGTATATGCCCTTTAAAGGTAAGTTTCCTGACCAGATATACCCTTTTCAGTTATATAATGATTGCAAAATTCAACATCAGTTCCACATAATTATAACTATACTATACATTGATATATATAACGCATTATAGCGCAATGGAGCAACCGTTGGCGATTGTGAGATGCAACCTGGAGAAGTTGTATCCTTTGGTGATGGAACACGGCAACATCGAGCAAACAATCGCATTCGCGAATGCGATGATGCAGTTGAACGTTTTGATCCAACAAGCCACTCCTGCTTTGCCGGGGCCTCCTGTCTCATGTGTAGTTTTTTTGATTTGTTTGGATTTTAGGAGATGAGCGTAAGGTGGGCTTTGTATGGTAGGGGTGAAGAGGTGTTTGGAGCGTGGAATTTGTTCCAGGACAGTTCAGAGAAGATGTCAACAGTATCCTTTCATCGTCCTGTTCAAGGCAGTCCGCTATGCTCAGACATTGCGGAATGCAAGCAAGACACTTTGCTGTTTTGGGTTTCCTGCCCAGGCCCCGGCCCCCCCTCACAGCCAGGCATTCAGCCCGCCTTATTTCCTGGCCCTGACGCCTGACGCCTCACAACCACTATTATTACTATGGCTGGTAAGACCTCGCTGTTACAGTTCTACAATGAGTTTTGATCCTGGGCCTCCGATACCAACTAACCAACTATTTTTGGGTGTTTGGAAATGCCAGAAGGCAAATCTCAAATATCCGCTAGCTTAGGCTTAGCCAAGTCAAACTCAGGATGAAAGCGTCGTTGGTCGCAGCAGCAGCCCTCCTGCAAGACACAAAATCCTTTGAGGAGTTGTCTCGTGAGTCTGCCCAAATTGAATGCCCATCTGGAGCTACAATCAGCAACTTATCCTTAATGTAACAACTAACAACCCACAAAGATTTTGTCGGTGGTGCAGCAGTACTTTTAACGAATCAGATCATATCTGTGACTACTGTAATGTGTTTTGCAGCTATGACTCTCGGGGTCTGATGGTGGACTTCGAAGCTCCAACCCGAACCCAGGCCGTTCTCGGCTCCGCTTGGAGGTCGCTTTCCTACGTATGAGGCAGCAAACTTGGCAGATGCGTTTTGCTGACAATCAGCCGTGGTTTGTCCACCTCAGTTTCCTGGCCGTTGAGTGAGTGAAGTGAAACTTCAGGTAGCGTTGGCGTTGAGAATCATGTAATCATGTGTAAGTGAAAGTTGGTGCTTCTGTGTTTGTAAGGCTTTGACAGCTCGCAATTGAAGAGAGCGACTTGGCCTGACTGATAGATGTCAAAGGTCAAGAGTCAAGAGTCAAGTCAAAAGAGTCAAAAAGTCAGAAGGGCACGGGCAGGGAAAAGCCTTCGAAACTCACTCCCACTGCCAGACTGCCAGTGCTACCGATTCATTTGTTTGCTGGTATTCCAATGCAAGGATTGGTTCATGACTTTGGAGGCATGCTTCGGTGGTTCTGGAGTATTGGAAGCTTTCCAAGAGAAATTTCGGCTCCTTGAAAATGTTTTGGAGCCGGGGCAAAGCGGGGAGCAACAACAAGCCAAGATTAAAGAAGAGTCTTTCTTACCTATAGCTGATCTGGTGCATCCAGAGGACAGCGTGTGTCAGCAGGACCGGAAGGGGGATGCTAAAGTCCTGGATCAGATCCTTTTGCAATTGTGCGCCCCTGAAATGAAGTAACAATGAAACTATTGTTGTAGAGCTGGTTTTGATTGAAGGGGTGAGTCTTCCTTTGTGGGAACTTGGCTCTTATAGTGGGGTCCTCTTAGTCCTGGCCAGCAGGTGAATGACTTGGTTAAGCTTGGTCAAGTGCCAGAGATGCCTTTACATCACTTGGTCGGCCATGAACTAAACATCTTGGCACCAGCAGTCCTTGGGCTGGGACAATCCAAGCTCCGCAATAAACTTGCAGCTCTCCTCCATCAGTTCAAACTGGAGATGGGTTGCGACCCGCAAATCATCAGGTGGTACTGCGCCTCTGTTGTATCAATTGCTACTGATCAAGGGACAGAGGCTGGCATCTTTTCCGTGCCAGACTTGAACCTGTCGCTTCACTTGCGCTGTGAAGCTGCAGCACTGGATGCAACTTGTGCCGTTGATTCTGGGGTTCTGTACCCATTGCAGGAACCAGTTGAGCCTGCTCTGCCTGAGCTTGAAGACGCGACTCCAGCTGAAGAAGCACAAGCGGCGCTGGCGCTTGTATGTCGACTATTTCCAAACAGTCTGTTCATTCCTGGCGTGAAACACTTGCTGGACAACATCCTGCATGACATTTGGGATTCCATGAGCGGTAAAAAGGAATTCATGGAGCAACTGCATGCTTTCGAGTATGTGTTGAAACAGGCGCCATACAGAGACAAACTTCGCCATTTGTTTTTTGATGGTGAGAATGCCTTTGACAAAACCATGTCTCAGCTACTGAGACGCTGGACACCTTCTCTCAAGTCACTTAGATGGCACAGCGTTGTTGACTTCATCAAGAGTTTGTTGCAAATAGGCCCAGGACTTCGCAAGAGGTGGAATCTACAGAAGTTCGTCACCTCACTGCCAAAAGAGAGGCATGACGAATTAGCTGAAGGCCGTGGAAGTGAAGGGGCTGGCACTTACAAACGTTTGGATGGTGCTATGCGTTCCAACTTTTTCTGGGCTTATTGTGACCTCATGTTAGAGGTGAGTCGAGCATCAGACACCTTATCTCGATGGTCAGAAGCCTGTTGGTTTCATCAAGGCTCCTGCACTGAGCGATCTTGTGGGTACAAGGGCTGCAGAGCACCGGAGCTAGCTGCTGGAGCACACAAATATTTGCTGGATGAATGTCAGTCCTCCACAAATTTGAAAGTTGCATCCCTCCTCCCAAACCTATCTGATAGCGAGAGCAAGATGTTACTCGCGGATTGGCATATAGCTCATGCACGCTTGAAGCTGGAATGGGAATACAAGCTCCACTTCTGGGATCTCTTACCTTGGAAGCTTTGTGGACTAGCTTGTCCTTCCCTAGAGATAGCTCGCACCATAGCACGGGAGTGCCAGAAGATGTGGCAAGACATGACGCCTCAGCAGCGTTCTGCTAGCCACCCGATGACACGTCGATTTTTGGACCAGACCTGGTCAGGCAAGATTGAAGTTAAACTTGACTTTCAGCTCGTAAAGGAAAACCATAACCAAACGGACCAAACTGTTTGCGTTTGCTGTTGTGCTTGGTCCCCACAAGCCCTGAAGCTGCGTTAAACAAGAAGCAACTTTTAAAGTATGATCAAGCCACTAAACTAAACCAGCAGCACCCACTATCACATCCCAGCCCCAGCCCCAGGACTTGAACATCACTTCTCCAAAGGTGCATCGCCTGCAGACTTGAATGACCCACCGCTGGCAGATGATGTGGAATCCTTTGTCAATGGCGCCGGACCAAAGGAATTGTCTGTCCATTTCGCCTGCTGGTTGGAATCTCTATCTCGGATTCGGGTGCAGGAGCGGAGTCGAGCCGAGTGGTGAAGCAATGACTAATTGATATTAATGGTTTATGGTTTTAACTTCATAGTGGCATGGTCATACGCTTTTGCGCAGGCGTAAATCATTGCAACAAGTTTGACTGGTTAGACTGGTCGCTGGTCACCTGGTTTTGAAGTAGTTGTTGTTGAGGTGCACAGTGGACATACCCAAACCTGAATGTCTCAATATGCCCTGCGAAGGAGAGGTCAGTTGAGGGAATCCATGCCCGCATCAGTCAGATGTTGGGTGGCCGCCCTCTTTCAGTTGCAGGATTGGGTCTTGAACTGAAGTGGTCTGGCATCGAGTCTCTTCTCCAGAGCCGCCCCGAGGAATCCAGTGTTTGTTTGCACGGTTTGTTGCCTCCTTGCCCTTGCCCTCACTGACCTGTATATATATATATATTTATACTAATTAGTTCAAGCTGGTAGCTCAAAGATCACAAGCCACAAGTCCTGTTGCAACGCAATTTCAACTCACTGTGTTCAGTCTTGCTTTGTCATCTTGTCTTTTTGATGTGATTTGTACCAGGACGTGGTTACATTTCTTCATCAGCATCAGCAGTTGTGCAGCTGGAAAGGGCTTGTATCCATGGTGTCCAAGATGATGGGGGGCATTGATCTTTCTAAAATGCCGAAAGATGCATATGGCGAATTAGGAAATCTCTTGCACCGACTGTCATTGGAACAGCAGTGATTTGCTTAGTCTTGACAGGGGTGATTCGGGGCGGTGTCATACTTCATGAACCGCGCTGAGCGCTGTGTGCATTTTATCTTCCTCATGTCAGACATATCACAATCCCAATTTGCAATCTTCCAACTTCCGACCTTAGCTTGTGTCGCAAACTTTGCCTGGCTTGGAGGATGGTTGTTGTTGTTTTCACGGGCGACCTGAAGTTTGATGACCAACTGTACTTGAAGCATCAACTTGCTCTTGCTGGAAAAGCACAAAGTGAAGCTTATG